ACGCTGCTGACAAGGGCAGCAGCCGGCTGCTTTCTCTGTGGGGCTCAGCTCCCACCGTGCCGGGTGCAGGTCCCTGGGACACGGCCCCACGCTTCCATTCTCGCTCTCCGCAGATTTCCCTGCCGAGCTTCTCAGCAGCCCAAACCAGATTATTTGTATCGCCTCAGCTTCCCTGCAACGTGTTAGCAGTGAATGTTTGCTGGCAGCAACCAGCGTCCTGCGTGGCTCATCTCCAAAGCAGAGCACTGTCCCGATAATGCCGCCCATTCGATTGAAGCAAATTCTTGTCCTGCAGCTTTCCACAGCAGGCGTTCCCTGCGGGTGGCACAGGGCCCAGGCCATGGGCAGTGCAGATACGCTCCTTGCTCCGGCTCTGATAGCTATCCAAGCTGAGGATGGGTGCAGGGCTACGTGCCTGAGCAAGGGCTGCAGGAGAGGTACCCAGGCAGGCTGGGTGTGGGGCAAGGGAGCTGCACGTTTTATTTCTTAGTAGCACGTAGCACTGGGCAAGCTGTGCCAGCAACACCACCAGATAGCCTGAACTGCACCCAGCCCCACCTTCCCCAAGGGATCTGTGCACGTAGGCAGGGGAGGCAGCCTCCTCACGCTGGACCTGGCTCACAAGGGCTTTCCTGCCCCTGCCTGGCCTTCTCTGCAGGTTGCATCTCCTCAAGGAACCTGGTGAAGTAACTTGCTGCAGCTCTTCATGGGTGGGGGTGTTTGGATTCAGAGGAGGGGGCTCTAGCTGTGCAGTTTTAACACTGGCTTCTTCCCCAAGGCAAGGAGAACTCATCTCTGAAATGAAAGACATGCATTTTCCCCCAGCTGGATGGGTGGGCAGCAGCACCCTGGCAGAGACAAGGCCTCTGCAGCACCTACCAGTTACCACAGGTGACCATGAGCCAAGGCAGTCTCTCTCAGACCAGCCACCTTCCTACCAAACACACCTGAGAAGGTAAAGGACTCACTGTCCTGCCCAAGGGAGGGGAGCTGCATGTACAGCACCCCTGTGAGGGCCATGCCAGGGTGGTGGTCCCGGAGCTCCCCGCAGTAGCAGGATGCTGCTGAGCAATGAGGTAAGGGCGAGTGAGTTTTCAGGAAACCTCTTGCAGACCCCACCCTACCAGGAAACACAAGCAAGCAGTTTTTTGACTTCCACTAAAGCTGGGGTTGAACCTGCCTTTCTAACTGGCTGGCAACTCAGAAGCACGATGAAAGCTGCTCCACAGTGCTGCCTTTCCCCTTTTGCCCTGAAAAACAGACAATATGATCCATTTTATGGAAATTGTCATTAACTGTATCGTTACGATGTGTACTACATGCCTAGTTGGAGCTGTGCTTTCAAAACTCTTTCTAAAGGGAAAAAGAGTTGGTAAGAGGAGGGAGAGGGAGAGCAGATAGAGAAGGACAAGCTGATAATTTTCTCACCAGCTCTTGCACTGGAATTAAGAGGGGCCTCCTGGAGGGAGCACCAGAGAGATGGATGCGTGGCTCAGCTTCCGCAGCACAGCGCACAGCTCTCCCCAGCGCAGAGCTGTGCGAAGGGAGGGTAGGGCAGGGCACTGACTGTGAGCATGAGCCCATGAACTTCAGCTGACTTCTGCTGTAGCAGAAATAGATGAAAGACACTCAAGTCATCTGTCCCCAACAACAGGAGAGCTTTTGCATGCTCAAGAAAACAGCTATCCCAGGATTCGGGACCATCTCCCAAAGCTCCAGGGAACACAGGGAGCAAAAAGAGAGCCCAGGAAGCCTCATGACCCTGTGCAGGACCACGCACAGAAGGGCAGGCACCACTGCACCAGCCTCCCTCTGGGACTGGCAGTTCTCATGCAGAGTAAGGAGGGCGCACAAGAAACCACCGCACGGATTCACTGGCTCATCTCCCTCACTGCAACACCTCACCCACAGGACAGGAAAGTTGCGTAATCTGGAATTTAAGTGCTTTGGTAGCCCAATCCGTTTAGCTTTCACGCTGTCATTTGGTCTTAAGCCAAATTTTCTCTGGAAAACAGCACACTGACTCTCTGCAGCAACAGCTGGTGGAGGAATGGGGACGGGATGAGATATCAAGACACTTAATAGCAACAAGTACCTAAAACTCAAGATGCCTGCTCCTCAGATAGCACACAGACAAGCACAGAGCCTGCCCTCATCTCAGCTGCCTGGCAGGTCCATTTGCTGAAAATGCTTTCCCAACAAACATCAGGAGCAAACTCCAGCCACCTTTACCGTATCAGTAAGCAGGATAAAACCTCAGTGTTTTCTGCAAGCAGAGGGAAGGCACACTGCTGCTCTGCAAGCAGTGTTTGTACGACTCAGCTGCATGCAACCTCACAGCCCAGCTTCAGGACCAAAGGATTTCCTTCCCAGCACTAAGGCAACAGGCCACGCTGCATCCCAAGCCAGCAGCCTGGGTACTGCACAGTCTGTATGGTGGAGCCTGACCAGGAGCTCCCAGTGAGTCCTAATGGCTCAGGACTCTCCCAGGGCCTCATACAAAGCTCAAAGAAAGGAACAGCAGAACTGGAACAACTGGCAGAGTTCATGCCCACAGATACCTGCTCTTGCTAGCACCTCTGCCACACGGATTTATTTGGTTTGCCACGACATTCACCGGGGGTTGACAGGACAAGAGATTTCAGCATAGGCTGATCCACTGTGGCAGCCACTTAGAAAACACTGCTAGCCAAGTGAGTTAAAACTACTAGGAAAAAAAAAAAAAAACAAACACAAAACTTTATTTACACTGAAGAGCATCCAGCAGGACCCTCCCCTCCCGGCCACACATGCACACAGGCTGTCTCCTCCCTTCGCTTACACCTGCCGCCAGCTGAGGATCCCGCTGCCGCACCTCATCTCTCAGTGCTCTATCCGGACCACCATGACCGTGACGTTGTCGGCCGAGCCCCGCTGCACTGCCTTGTTGGCCAGTCTGTTACACGCAGCTTCATACCTGGCATCTGCTTCCAGCTTCCCTTCTCTCGTCTGGATGTTCTTATCCTGTTGGGATGAGGACAGATGGTGCTGATGGCTCCCAGCAAAGGGAGTAGGGGCAAGCACATAGTAATTTCCAAGCATGGGGAAGCAAAACAAATACAGAGACCTTCAAGGGAGGACACCCTGGCAGAAGTACATTTCTGCAAGTCGGAGTCATTCCATTTCTTGGGCCTGCACTGACAAACCTAGCCCCCACACCACCTTCTCCTCACCTCCAGGCAGGACACAATGAAGTTCACGGCTTCTTCTGGTGTAAAGACTTTAAAGAGGCCATCACATGCTATCAGAATGAACCTGGAAATCAAGCAGAGACAGGTTCTAAGGCTGAATCTTTGGCTCCCCAGCTACAGCAAAATCCCTCCAAGCTAATTTGTGGGTACTCACACTCCAATCCAAAGGGAAGATACCATAAAGCTTATCTGAAAACCCCTCAGAAGCACCAGAAGTCCTCTGGTGCTCCAGAATCTACCATTCACGGAGCTGAGGCCAACAGCCAGGCAAACAATGTAAGACCTAGATCAGGACATCCTGGCAGCCCTACTGAGGCTGCACCATTAGGCAAGACCACATACCATGCCCTGCTGGAAAGCTCCACTATTTCTCTACGAACTGCTTCCTTCGAGTCCTTTTCATTCACATCTTTTTCCTGTGAAGTAGCTAGTGTAAGAAAATAGAGAAACACTGCCAGCTTAATACCTCACATGCATCCCTTTAAATCTCCACACTCCTGAGGTATGGGATAACTCAAATTGAAACATTCAAAAGAAAAGCAAGCAGCTTAACCCAGAAACAGAGGCACAACTGTGAGTGAAAAACTGCCACAAGGGATTGCCACATGCTGCAGAAGGTTGAAGGGACACAAAGCAGAAGGCAAGGGGAGCTGCCTCCCAGCTCCCTACCAGAGGATGGGGCAGGCAGCCTGCTATGCACTCCTTACCTGCACAGGGGACTGTATTAACCAGGAGCCTGAACTGGACCGCCACAGAGGTGGCTGGTCTGCCAGAGCAGCACACGTCTCTGGAGACACAGTTTCAGAGCCTGATACTCAGAATATCTTTAGGAGAGCAGATCACTTGATGTGGAACTCTAGTCTCAAAAGCAGCAGTACTGGGTTACGGTCTCACCTCGAGAGCCTGCAGGGCCATGCTGACATGAAAGCTCACTGCAATGTGTCACTGCCAATCGCATGATCGAAAAGCATCTCAAATCTTCAAATATCAGAGCCAAATGCAACGGCACTTGTGGACACCATGGCTGATGGAAACAACTCTTGGACAGGATGAGGATCCAAGAATCCAAGCCTTAACCAATGTGCTGGGCTTATGTGAAGGGGGCTTGGTAGCAGGAGAGGAGCTTCACCTCCTGTAACTTCCTGGGCTCCAAAAGCACTCAGACCAGTCTCTGGCCAGGTCGGGGCCCACGCC